GGGATTGCTGAGGAAGGGTTCGCAGAGGAAAGGGAAGCGAAGAGGGAGGAACGAAATCTAGGCGGGGGTGATGGGAGATGGGCGACGGGTTGGGATCCAGGTGGCGGGAGGAGAGGGGTGATGGAAGACGGGCGACGGGTCGGGGTCCAGGTGGTAGGTGGAGGGGGGTCGGGATCGGGGCCGCGCAACCAAGATTGCAGGGGAAGGGAAAGCGAAGCGGAAGGGTCGGGATCGGGGGGGATGATGATGGGGGGGGGAGAACGGGGGTATGGCGGGAATGGGTTCTGCGACGGGTCGGGATCCAGGTGGCGGGTAGGGAGGAGGGAGTCGGGATCCGGATTGCGCGACCGAGATCGCAGGGGGAAGGAGAGCGAAGCGGGAGGGTCGGGATCCGGGGGGGAGAGCCAGATGGGGTATGAAGGGGATGGGTTCGCGAAGGGCGGGGGGGTCGGTATCGGGATCCAGGCGGCGGGATGGTGGAAGAGAGGGTGATGAGAGATGGCGGTGGGATAGGAGATATAGCAGGGTAGTCGTAATCCCCGCTTCTACTTGAATCCGCGTCGTCCAGCCGGGGTATATTAAATCATTGTCTTTGCTTACCAGTGATGATCGCTGTACTTGTTGCATGTCTGCGTCGTCTTGTGGTAGATCCGCACTCTTGCGCACTTGCTCTACTCCCCCACCGTGCCAGTCTCCCAGCACGGGGCCCCAAGGGGAGCAGGTTTCGCTTGCAGATTGTGTGTCGCCACTCGCTCGCAGATTATGTGTTGCCACGCGGCCGCCGTCTTCTGCAGTAGTGAGGTTGTCGTTCCGCCTATTGGTCTTTTCCTCCTTGGCGGACCCTCACTCTCGCCGCGGCTCACCCGTCAGTGAAAGTTGTTCCTCCTCCCACTTCTTTCTTCCTTTTCGTCCCCTCTCGACTCTCCTCTCTCTTCCTCTTCGTTGCACTCTTTCCTCCCCTTCGCTCCCCCCCTGTCCTCCTAGGTGCGACGCAGCTCCCACACCGTGGGCAATAGCGCGTTTGCCAGCGCGAACCTGTCGCGTTGCGCGCGCAAAGTAGCGCCCACCAACCAATGAACGAGATACTAACACAATAGCCCCAAAGGATTATCATCAATCTATTCTCAGAAAAGTGTGGGTTCTCTCTCTCTCTCTCTCTCTCTCTCTCTCGTGCCTCAGGGTCACATCAGAACTCTTTACCAAATTAATATATATATATATATATATATATATATATGTGTAGCACGCTGTTCGCGTTCGGTCGCCGAACGCGAACGGGTCGGAAAACTGACCGAATGCGAACGTATTTTTATTTTTATTTTTATTATTTTTTATATATGGGTCTGGGAGGGGTTGGGGGGGTTGGGGGGGGTTGCCCATCACTATTGGGGGAGGGAGGAGGAGGAAGGGGAAAAAGAGAGGTCGGGCGGAGGAGGAGGACAAAATATGGTGGAGGAGGAGGAGGGGGAACAAGAAAGGTCGGGTGGAGGAGGAGGAGAAGATATGGCGGAGGAGGAGGAGGAGGAGAAGGAGGGG